CAATGGCTGAACTAATTGATGTTCTTACCAACAGTATATATAGCCTTCTGTTTTCTCTGCAGCCTCAACAGCATCTGTTGTTTTTTGATGTTTTATGGATAGCCATTCTGACTAGTGTGAGATGGTATCTCATTGTGGTTTTGATTTGCATTTCTTTGGTGAAAAATGGTGGATTTTTAAATGGGATTTGATTTTTAGATTTAATAGAAACTGCATAGGTGACTGTGCAAAGAACTCTTAAGATTTGACAAAAACCAAATTAGATTGTAATCTCCTTTGTGTAGGAGAGGAAATAAAGACCAGAATATTAAAATATCTACATGTACAAAAATAGACAAACTGGCAGATTGCTGGTGTTGGATGGATGTTGAGCAGGGATGGAGGACGTGTGTGTGCATGAATGCATGGCCATGTGTGGAGAGTGGTCGTTCTTGTTGGTATCAGCTTAGAGCTTTGGGCTTCAGAACAAAAGATAAGCCACATCCCACTCAGGTACCCTAAAATGTTGTCTTCACTAGACACAAAAGAAAAGGGAAGCCAGAAATGTATGTAGCTTGTGCAGAGTTTTGGGAAAAGCTCTTCTAGACTTTCTTAGTGAGCGGTATAGAAGGATTATTGTACAAGCCCAGTAATTTGGGCAAGGATCGGCTTCTGTTGCTTTTGTTTTCTGGATGCTCCGTAATGAATGTGAGATGGAAGCGGATGTCTCAAGTGCTTCTTGTTCTCAGAAACCTCCTAGCAGCAGACATCTCAGTGGGCCCAGATGTTCAGCGTGGCTGGAAGTAAAACACAGGGAAGGGTGCTCTTTGTCAGTTACCCTATTTTTTTTTAATGCATCTACAAAGCTTCCTGTTTTCTAATATATTACAAGCCTTTGAAAGACAAGGCCATAAACACTCAGGAGATGTGATTTTATTCATTTTAAGGTCAAAATACCAAAATACCTGTTATCAGGGCTCACCTTAATTAAATATGTATCTTAAAATTAAACCAATCTCAATTTAAGGAATGCATACTTAGGGGAGAAATGTATTACAATTTTTATTCTGAACACTTTAAATTCTGATAGGCCTAATAGTGCGAGCCTTGCCTTAATTGCAACCTGAGTCAGAATAACTGCCCTGCAGAGAATCATTTAAAATACCCAATCAAGTTATAAATCAGTCAAAATGCCATTCTGAGATATTATTTTATGCAGTCTTTGCAGAGAATAAATGCTATATAGCCCTTCTTCACTCCCAAAGTATATGTATATATTTAATGAAGTTAGTTTTCACCTTTTTATTAACATTTTTTATCCATTAAAAATTTTAGAATTCATTTTGTAGTATATCCTCTTTATCTTAGGAATATTAAAAATCTACCTGTTTATGAATAACTATCAATAACCACATTTCATCCTTTGTGAAATCCTTTTCAGTTTTTGAAACTCACATGGGAGATCTTTTATTATTTTGCCCACAAGGATATAGGTTGGTTAAATTTACGGTGATTCTTTAATGATGATAATGTACATTTGATTGATATCAGTAAGAAATATTGATATCTTCAATATCAACATTGCTTGTAATGCTAGAAATTTACAAGTTGCCAATTTTTTGAATGTAACTATGTTTACACACACAGACAACGTGCATGACAGCACTAGTTATATTCGCTAAATATACCTACTGATACTTAATCATTTACACAGCCACTATAATTTTATACTTGATGGCTTAAACCAGTAATTCTCACTTGAGGGTTGTTTTGGCCCCCAGGCTATCTAGCACTATCTAGAGACATTTTCCATAGTTAAAACTGGGTAGGAGGTGCCACTTTCGTCCAGTGAGTAGAGGTCAGGGATAGTGCAAAATACTTGGGCTTTAGATTATAGTAATTTTGTGCAAATTAGCCAAATTTCAAAAAACGAGGGAGTAAAAAAAGATAGCTCTCAACCTGTGAATATTGTGAATGCCCGATCTAGAACTAGTAAGTGGACAGATGCCCTTGGGCCCGTCTTCTTAGGTTGCTGCTGCTTCATAATCGCTCACTGCCCATCAGGACTTTGTGGGATGCAGATTTAGACAGAGGAGGGATTTGATCATACAGCTGGTTCAGTCATAACCAATATGTGGCTCATAGTCTCATTCACATTGAGTTTGAGACTTTTAAGACGTGGGCTGGAATTCCTCATGGAACTAACTTTATATACCTTGGAAGAAGTCTACCCACTGAATTCTACATTTATTGAGCTCTGTGTTTCAGGGACTATGCAATACCTTGAGGATACATACTATCTCATTTTGTCCCAAGTAGCTTTTAAATACTTGGGATTAAATCAGATAGTATGTAAAACCAAATACTTTACAGCTACGTGGGACTAAGTGTGATAGCATGTAAAATCGCAAATAGTAGACTGGTAAAGTGAGTCCTAAAGAATTTGAATGACCTGCTGTCAGCCTACTCAGCACTAACAGTGAGTTGATAGTACCTTGTGTCTCTGTACCCAGGAATCTTTTGGGCAGGTCTGTGTTGAACATTGCAGCATGTTGTATATGTTGACTGGGCATCTTCTGTGCTCTTCAACTTTTGCCTGTAGGCTCCCTTCCTGCTCTGCACAGCTCCATGAACCAGGTGGAACGCACCATTTTACCTTTTTGCAGTCTGCAGAGGTTGACTTGCTTCCCTCAGCTCACAGAGGTAGCATCCCAGGACTCAGGTTCATCTGAATTACAAGTTGATGGCCTCACTGCCCACAATAGCAAAGACATGGAATCAACCTAAAGGCCCATCAGTGGTAGACTGGATAAAGAAAATATGGTTCATATATACCATAGAATACTATGTAGTGATAAAAAAGAACGAGATTATGTCCTTTGCAGGAACGTGGATGGAAGCAGAGACTATTATCCTTAGCAAACTAATGCAGGAAAAGTAAACCACATACTGCATATTCCCACTTACAAATGGGAGCTAGAGATGAGAACTCATGAACACAAAGAAGGAAACAATAGAAAAAGCAGCATATTGGAGGGTGGGCAGTGGGAGGAGGTAGAGGATTAGGAAAAATATTTATTGGGTACTAGGCCTAGTACCTGGGTGATGAAATAATCAGTACAACTGACCCCTGTGACAAAAGTTTACCTGTATGGCAAACTTGCACAGCTACCCCTAAAGCCAAAATAAAAGTTAAAAAAAAAAGTTGATGATTTCACCTGTTCTCTTGGGGAAGGCTCTGAAAGTAACAGCTACCTCTAGTTAAAAATCTTTCAGGAAAGAATCAACCAAACACAACATCACCTCTTTGTTTTTCTTGTCTGTCTCTTAATTATTCAGAAATGGGATTGCTGTATGGCAGACATCCACATGTCTACAGTAGAATTCAAAGATAGAAGCAAACACCTAAATCAGCCATTTGGTGAGATGCTATTTGTCACTTTCAAAGTTACAATCCAGATTTTCAGTGCATATTCATCCATCTCTGGTGAACTTTTCCCAGGATGGCATGTACTATGGGATTTCCCCCTGTTGGTATTATTGTTCTGTGACAGATCCAGCTCCAATATGTTTTATTTTAAAAAAAAGCCATGTGATGTGTTCTGTTCATCTGATTACTTAAATGAAACAGATAATTATTTTCTGATGCAAATGCTCTGAATAACCCACAAAATCCTTAGAAACACATATGCGTACTTTGAGATGAAGAACTCTCTAAAGGCACCCTCCTTGTGACACCTAGTGAAATGTTTTCCGTTATTAGGGGGTCATTTAACATACTGTCTATTGCTGCACAGCGTTCTTTTATTGTCACAGGAGCAGCGATTTCTCTAGGGATAGTCGTATTATCCATGTAGAGACAAACTGAGGTGGTTACCCTTTAAAAGTTGACTCCAGGCTCACTGGGAAAGTAACTCAAATGTAGCCTCAGCTTTTTAAATGGGCTAAAGAGTGAAGAGGATACCCTCTAAGGCATGCAATGGATTACTGGAAAGTCAGGATAATCGTATCAACACTTTTAATTATGAATGAAGTCTTCAGGAGACTAGCACTACAGCATGTATTTGAAATGCACCATCTTGTATAGTTTTTTTACAAGGAAGCTGAGATTCAGAGCAGTGAAGTATGTAGCCTAAATGTATATGCACTTGACCAGACCAAGGAGAATTTGTGTCCAAAGTCTACACTCTTTTCATTTGATGATGTTCCCTTTGTGACCTGATAAATATCCACATCATGATGCCAGATTGACTTGGATGCATACTTCCATTTTCCTCCTACTGGAAAACTTTCAGAGCTCCATGCATGTCTCCTTAGGAAAATGTGACAGTTTCCTTAAACATTTGAGAAACAGTGTTTTGGAAGTACCCATGTATTGATAACCAATCTGGTAAACAATAACAAAACTGGGAGGTGTCGTTACCATAATCTGCATAACCTGTATAACTCTTGAACATCTGTTTGTTCATTCAACACAGATTTGTTTAATGTTTTCTAAATGTCAGGCATTGTTCATGGTGATAGGATGTACAGCAGGAATTAAGACAAGTGGTGGCTGCTAGGCGTGGTGACTCATGTCTGTAATCCCAACACTTTGAAAGGTTGAGGGGGAGGATCCCTTGAGGCCAGCCTGGACAACATAGGGAGACCCGACGTCTACAAAAAAATCCAATGAATTAGCCGGACATAGTGGTGCATACCTGTAGTCCCAGCTACTCGGGAGGGTGAGGCAGGAGGGTGGGTTGAGCCCAGGAGTTGGAGGCTGCAGTGAACTATGATAGCACTACTGCATTATATCTTGGGCAATATAGCAAGACACCATCTCTGAAAAAAAAAAACAAATAAAGACAGGTGATGTTCTTGCTCTTGCCTACTATGTGGAGATGGCACTATACACATTCCTATACAAATGAATAGGAATTTCTTAGAGAGATGTTGTGGATTTCATGGAAGAGCCAGCCAGTGTTCTAGGTGGTCATTGTATGGCTTCATTATTCTTGTCTGCTTTCTTCCTCTTTTAGGCTGCCTTGGAGTTTTCATGAGAAATTGTCCCTGGAGGTGTTAAATGGTCACAGCTTCCTTGGAGCATTGCAGTTGCTGGAATCCAGTTTCAGGATTAAGGGAGGGCTGCCCCCTTGCAATGGGCTGCCAAGAAAACCGCTGTGCTTGTTCTTAACCTCAGGCTCTGTCTGTGATCAGTCTGAGAGTCTCTCCCAGGTCTTCTGCTCCCTGGAAAGCCCTATCTCTCTGCAGGCTCGCCTCTGGGCTTTGTCTCCTTGGAGCCACATCACTGGGACAGCTGCGGATGTGGATGCAGATTTGAACCATGTCGCGGCCCCAGGGACTGTTATGGCTTCCTCTGTTGTTCACCCCAGTCTGCGTCATGTTAAACTCCAATGTCCTCCTGTGGATAACTGCTCTTGCCATCAAATTCACCCTCATTGACAGCCAAGCACAGTATCCAGTTGTCAACACAAATTATGGCAAAATCCGGGGCCTAAAAACACCATTACCCAGTGAGATCTTGGGTCCAGTGGAACAGTACTTAGGGGTCCCCTATGCCTCACCCCCCACTGGAGAGAGGCGGTTTCAGCCCCCAGAACCCCCATCCTCCTGGACTGGCATCCGAAATACTACTCAGTTTGCTGCTGTGTGCCCTCAGCACCTGGATGAGAGATCCTTATTGCATGACATGCTGCCCATCTGGTTTACTGCCAATTTGGATACTTTGATGACCTATGTTCAAGATCAAAATGAAGACTGCCTTTACTTAAACATCTACGTGCCCACGGAAGATGGTGAGTACCTCATTGGAACAGAAAACAGTACCTCTTGGGCAGTGTGTAGAGACGTTTGCCAGGAGGGTTTTATAGTGTCTCGTGCATGATCTTTTCTATAACCCGTTTATTTTAATGTATTTTTCATATTACAAATGCAGTTCTTGCAACAACTTATCACGTGTTCCACTTGTATATATTGGGCCATCTACTGGCTAGAGAAAACTATAAAAAATGACTTTAATTATTTTCATATATCGCCTTCTTAACTTTTTATAATGCTTATTTGCAGATGAAAATAAATATGAGCATATAATGTTGCATGTTATACCCAAATCATCTGTAAAGGAATGAGTATAGAAAAATAATAGAATTAAGTACACTATTATGTTCCAGTTTGCAAACTGAAAGAGAAAATGGTTCTTTCTGCCTTAATGACTTAAGATATTAGCAACTTTTTTGAGTTTTCAAAGAAAAACTTGATAATGGTTAATATACAAGCAGGGGATAGTTCATACAATGGTTGGATTTCATTGTTTAGAATCCATTTCCTTAACGTAAATTTGGATGTTCTTTTCTTCCAATATTCGCTGCAATCAAATGGCAAAATGTAGTCAGATGATTCTAGCTACATTAGAGATGAACACGTTTGTATTTTTAAAAATTTCCTTTTTTTAGTAAAAAAAACAATGAAAGTCTGTAGACACAATAATATTTAATATGTTAACCTAATGTTAGTAAAACATGAATAGTTTTATGTCTATAGATTTCAAATTCAGATTTCCTAGGAAGAATAACCAGACTAAAGTATGCCACAGTACTATCACATTTCCCAGTTAGCATTTCCATCTGCCATATGAGGAGAAAAACAACAGAGAATAAAATATACCTGGAAAGAAAGGAAGAAAGGAAGTTAATTTGTGGGAATGACAGATGTATCTAATGTAGAAACTAGAGTGTGTCCTTTGTATAAAGTTCTTCGTGGAGAGTGTGATAAATTTCTTTTATGGAGAAATTTCTTCTTCTTCCTTTTTTTTTTTTTTTAACTTCAATCCCTGGAAGACATTTTTCAGTAAGATTTGGCTGAAAATACTAAATAAACAATGACATTAATCTAATGATCTCCAAAGTTGTATTGCATCTATCAGATTTCTCTTTCTCCATATAAATGCCAGATAGTCTAAGTTAGAGTGTCATGAAAAACCAGACCAGGGTTGTGTGTCACTGAGATTACAAATTGTCATTGAGATTACAAAGAACAGCCCAGAGCAAGAAATTAAAGGACTGTGCTTCATTATATTAGTGGTTTCTGGCATATTGCCCTTGTCGTTATGGTGACAGACCTCACAATTATCTCATAAAGTCCAGGTCTGAATGTGATTCAAGGAGTTAAACTGACATTTGGACGCTGTACTTCCATGGGGTGCTCTGAGCTGTCTCCGTGCCTAACAGTCCCTCTTTGTGTGTGTGTGAGATGAATAAGAGCTCTCAAAAGCAATTAGGGTTCTCATTTGAGCAGCCACCTGGGTTGATATCTTTCTCATAACGAACTATTCAAACAAAAACCAAAAAGAAAGGAAGACAAAAACGGGGAGAAAAAAAACCCGAAAACAGGACAAAGGGTTAAAATTGCTTTCATAATACCTTGGATGTGCTAGAGTCTGGTGATTTTATAGAGCTAGCCTTGGCAACAATGAATGCACTTCAAATAGAAGGCCGCCTCATATAGGAGTTGGACAGATTGAGGCCACCCATGAGAAACAATCAATAGCCTCCCTGACTGCAGAGCCCCGTATGTAAAATTGTGTGGCTGGAGACCACAAACAGTGTGGCCGTTTCATTGTGATTCAGTATTGAATTAAAATTCGAGGAATGTAAATATGTGAAAAATGCTATTCAGTGAAAAAGTAATCCAAACCTGATAATAAACCCAGTTCTACTTGTTTCGTTCTTTAGGCGTTTTGAAGCATTATGCCCATATGGTCTTGACAAGGGAATCAGAAATCTAATAGTGACTGAAAAAGTAGAAGCGATCTCCCCACTATGTGTAAACCTTAGAATTTTGCTGGTGAGAGTTCAAAGCTACAGCCCTGCATGTTTATACAGTCCACAAATCACAACCTTTGGGTTAGGAGTTTTTGTTTTTGGTTGCTTGCTTGTTTTCTTAACTCTATCAACCAAGAAGCAGTGCAGGCGGGGCATGGTGGCTCACGCCTGTAATCCCAGCACTTTTGGGAGGCCGAGGCAGGCAGATCATGAGGTCAGGAGATCGAGACCATCCTGGCTAACATGGCGAAACCCCATCTCTACTAAAAATACAAAAATTAGCTGGGCATGGTAGCGCGTGTCTGTAATCCCAGCTACTCGGGAGGCTGAGGCAGGAGAATCGCTTGAACCCAGGAGGCAGAAGTTGCAGTCAGCCAAGATGGCACCATTGCACTCCAGCCTGGCAACATAGCAAGACTCCGTCTCAAAAAAAAAAAGAAAAAAGTACCAATGCAGAGCTTTAGATATTTAATTATTGGTTATTCACTAAATGAATGAACTCCGCATCCACAACAGCATATTGAAATGTTGACATCATGCTGATTCTCTCCAAAGGCCTTCCCTTAGGCAGTATCTTAATTCAGATCAATGCTTTTATTTAGCAGGATAGACAGCAATATTATTATTTGGAATTTAAAATTCCACTCTGACCAGTCTGATCAAGCCAGAAAGACAAATCTGAACAACAACAACAACAACAAATCTACTTTTTTTTGGTTTAGCTTTGTCTTTCTGCCTTGATCAGAATGGCTCAAATTTCTACGTTTCCACTTTCATAAAATGTGTAGGTGTATTAAAAATAAAAAAATAGACTTTATTTTAGGTACATACTTACCCTTGCATTTAAGAAATAACTTGCATGAGGAAAAGTGTTGGAAATTTCTTCATTGTACAATAGTTTATGAAACATATATATTTTTTTCTTTAGAAAGCAATACTTTTTATAATTAATAAATCAGGTCTTGCTGAAGGTGAGTCTTTTCGTTTAAACTGGCATCATGATCTACTAAACTTAGGCTTGGGTCTTTATGACTATTTCCTATCTTACAAATTTCTTTATTTAAATGTTCATAGGTTATTACTTTCTCTTTGTTGTTAGACGACAGGCTAATTAACTTGAATTGCATATTTAATCTTTTGATAGGTGCTAAAATAAGGTCAAAATCAGTCAAGCCAGTTGGAAGCTCTAGTAGGACACATGGGCCATTGTTGACAAGGAGCAGTTGGAGACCGAATGACCGAATCTGCATGGTGTGTGTGTGTGTGTGTGTGTGTGTGTGTGTGTGTGTGACAGAGAGAGAGAGAGAGCGAGCAGGGAGAGAGTGACTGAGTGACTACTTTGAGGAAGCAATGCAGAATGTGGCTTGGTAGCTTGATTAAACACAAATTGTGAAAGTCCAGCTGAGAAGTTCCAGTCTCACATACTAAGTCCACATCAGTTCATACATGAGGGGATGGCACTACGATTCGTGATTCCTCTTGGTCACGAAGGAGACTGAACACAGAAAGATGAGCTATGGAAACATTTCAGGTTTTTAATGAGAACCCATGGTATTATTTAGAAGTGAGGCTAAAAAGTAAGGGAAAAATAAAAGACACATTTTGAAGGAGTTGCTCAGACAAGCTGTCGTATTAAATGTAAAGCCTGGAGGAGAAAGAGCCACAAGTGAGTCCAGGTTGCCTTGGGGAATGGACAGAGCCAAGGAAGCACTTCCTGAGTGACCTATACCTGTACTTTCTCTCTGAATCCTTGGACATACATCTTAAGGTCTTATTCTTTTTTTTTGAGACGGAGTCTCATTCTGTCGCCCAGGCTGGAGTGCAGTGGCGTGATCTCGGCTCATTGCAAGCTCCGCCTCCCGGGTTCATGCCATTCTCCTGCCTCAGCCTCCGAGTAGCTGGGACTATAGGCGCCCGCCACCACGCCCGGATAATTTTTTGTATTTTTAGTAGAGACGGGGTTTCACCATGTTAGCCAGGATGGTCTCGATCTCCTGACCTTGTGATCCGCCCGCCTCGGCCTCCCAAAGAGCTGGGATTACAGGCGTGAGCCACGGTGCCCAGCCAGGTCTTATTCTTGAAAGATTTCAGGGGCGAGAAGCCCTTCCATTCTCCATCATGGGACTAAAAACACTGGGAAATATAAAGAAAAATACAAATGAAAGTCATTATTACCCAGGCGCGGTGGCTCATACCTCTAATCTCTAGGAGGCCGAGGTGAGTGGATCACTTGAGGTCAGGAGTTTCTGACCAGCCTGGCGAATATGGTGAAACCCCGTCTTTACTAAAAATACACAAAATTAGCTGGGTGTGGTGGTACATGCCTGTAATCCCTGCTACTCAGGAGGCTGAGGCAGGAGAATCACTTGAATTGGAGAGGTGGAAGGAGGATGCAGTGAGCCGAGATCGCACCACTGCACTCCAGCCTGGGCAACAGAGTGAGAATCCCTCTCAAAACAAAACAAAACAAAACACCAGGCATTATCATTGTATTTTCATTGTAGCATAATAGCAAATGCCATTATGATTTCTAGAAAAGTGAAATTCTGGTTTTTTTTTTTTTTTTTGCTAGCAATACAATTGAAAAAGTAAGATATTAAAAAACAACAGATGATTGAATGCAAGGTGTCTCTCATCTTTTTCCCCCAAGATGACACCTGATACTTTGAATACTATGACTTAAGTAAGCTTGCCGCGATTACTGATTGAGGACCTATTTGGTGAAAGCCTGGAGCTTTGTGATGAAATATAGACAGACATGACATGGACAATGACCTGTAGGAGTTTGCACAGTTAATAAACCTGCAGGTAGATAATAAGCCAGAGCATCCTCGTTAGGGAACAAAGAAAGCTCTGTGACAGCTCAGGGACAAGCTATTTTTTGAGAAAAACTTGATGGAAGCTATAAGTGGTTGAGCTGTGCCATGAAGAATATATGGGCGATGGAAAGGATTCATCTACTAAAGCATCTGACG